AAAAAAAACAACTCCATGTAGGTTTAACAAATACCCGAAATCAAATTAAACCCAAAAAAAGGCTGTGCCCCCGCCCCCCCCCCCCCAAAAAAAGGAAACACATTTATACAGATAAAAGCATCTATATCTATATCCACAAGTGTCAACAAGACATATATTAACCCTGGTCATTTAAGTTTTGCCCTATATGTATAAAAGGGATTCCATATGGCAAAGAATTCCCTTGTAGAGCCTTTGAATGCGTGTCTTTTTGTCTCCTGCTTAATTATGCCATGTCTGGGTTTTTTCATATGCACCCCCCCAGTGCCCCCGCGGAAGCCTCTCACCAGCTGGTCCTTCTGCGTTATGTCTGGGCTGACCATCGTCCACTCAATGTCCAGCTCTCCAACGTCCGAGGGCCCTGTGCTGTACTCGCAGCCCAGGATCACACTCTCTCCCAGGGCTTTCTGCATGGTTTGAGGCCCAGTGGAGGTCACTTGCAAGGCAACAGTGCCACCTATAGGTGAATGTAGAAGAGCGCATTCTGCAATGTCATTTACCATGAAGAAGAGGGTGTGACGTCAGTCTGTCAGGAGGGCCTTATGCCCTTCAAACCCCCTTCCCAGTGCCTCATGGTGAATGTGCCTTCTGCACCTCTATGGATGCTTTTCCACTGCAAACTTTTATTACTTCAAAACAGCACCAAAGTCAATGGTTCTTCAGGTGTTAGTTTTGCACTGGCATGAAAAGCAGGTAGCGGCGCAAGAATGACATCATCACAACATGAGGCGGGTGTTTTATACTGAATTCAAAAATGGCTGTTATACTAGGTCTATATTATAGAGCTGAGCAGTATTAATATCGACATTGTATGTTATGCACATGCAAGGACTGCAATAATCAGCTGGGTTGAGATCGGGCTTTTCAATACCTTCATACTGTCCAGAAATTATACGGTAATATATGGTATTTTCAGTGTTGCACATTTCAGATCCAGAGGCTAGAAATCCAGACCAACCAGCTGACATTTCTGTGACTGACTTTTTATGCTCAACTGGTTGGTGGAAACAAAACCTTGGTCTGGATTTGTAGCATGTGGACCTGAAATGCCCAACACTGGAATTTTTGAAAAACAATGTTATTTTGCAATACAGTTCCTGAATTTTGAAATCTTGATGATAAAATTTGCCAAGCGTGGGGGGAAGCTCCCTATCCCTAAGCCCCATCTGTCACTTGCTATGCAATTTAGAAACACAGACAATAACAGCATATTATACAAACAGGCCAGCTTGCAAAAACATCTAAAATCCTGAGGACAAATTGACTTTACTGTTATACACAAAAGGATCTTAATGGAAGCCATACATCAAACAGCTGATAAAGGTTTTTTGAACATGTCTTGGCCTAACCACAACAAGCATGGAATCGATTCGATTCGATGTATATAGTGCCTTTCACAACACAGTTGTGTTTGACAGACACTTAATGGGAGTGTATGGTAATGCAACATACCAGCATGTAAGTAAAGCATCAGGACACAGCAGAGGGCAGGGCTTGGGCGAATGTGGCAGCACCTGTTACAGATGGGAGACAGACGTGCAGCTCACAACATGTACGTTTGTACCATGGGTACATGGGAGACAGGCGTGCAGCTCACAACATGTACGTTTGTACCATGGGTACAGATAAGCTCCTCTGAGGTTCTCACTCTGGTTAGGACCCACCGATCCAGACAATGTGAGTATTAGATCTGCTTCCTAGGGAACTGTAGGGACAGCTGAGGGACATTGTCACAGAGTGGGTGCCATATAAGGGAGCCCCCACCCCGGAAATCGCCTCCAGCTTGGTCCTTAGTGTGCTGCACTTAGCCAAACACACTGTACTGTCTAGCAGTTTTACAGACAGTAATCCATCAAAAGGCAGATGTCCAGCATGGGGACACTCAGGTAACAGTGTGGATATAACATTACTCTTACAGTATACATACAGTGGGGATAAGATAGTACTCTAACATAGTGCATACAGTGTGGATATAACATTACTCTTACAGTATACATACAGTGGGGATAAGATAGTACTCTAACATAGTGCATATAGTGGGGATAAGATACTATTCTTACAGTGTGGACATAGTATGGATAAGATAATACTCTCACAATTGGGACACAGTATGGATGAGATACTATTCTTGTGGATACAGTGTGGATAAGTTACTACTCTAACATTGTGGACACGGTGTTGATAAGATACTATTCTTACAGTATGGATAGAGTATGGATATACCCTTACTGTGTGTTTTCTAGGTTTGACTCCTGCCTGGCTTGAAATCCTTAAATACCATGCTGCAATAACGGTTAGTGGCTAGCAGTGTGTTGTTGCTATAGTGGTTAGTGGTTAGCATAGCTGCCTTCCAAGCAGTTGATCTGTGTTTGATTCCCGGCTAACACAAATTTTTGAAGGTCGCGTGTGACCCAATGCGTTAGGTCTCTGTGCCTGTGATTGGTAGGTTGCTAGTTCGACTCCCGTGTTTGGCAGAAGAGTTACATCTTTCTTGGGCCCTTGGCCCTAAAAAAAATGCTCCAGGGTGCTGGATGGATGGGTGACCCTGCACTCTGACCCCAAGCGTCTCTCTCACCTCATGGGTGTGTCTTAAAAAGGATATGCACAAAACTAACACATTCCAATGCACCTCGTCTCATACTCATTCAAATGGAAAATAAAGCTTAATTTCATTTCAAAGCAGCCCATACATCTGGACAGCAGGCCCCTCCCACAGCAGGCCCCTCCCACAGCAGGCCCACTGCCTCAAACCGCTCGGAACAGGTACAGCTTCCCAGACCAAAGCACAGTGGTCTCTAGGGAACTGGCATAGTTTGCCAAACTGGTTTTTCCTGTTCACCTGGGCTACAGTATCATGGGACGACTTTCCAAGAAAACATTGTTTGCATTCCTACTACTCTATAATAGGTTGTTTAACACGGACATCACAGTATCGACAGCGTCAGGAGATAAACAATATTTTACAAGTAAGAACATAATGAACAAATGAACCAATGGATCCAAACTGAGCAAGCAAACAGATTATTATGAACTGTATCTTTCCCAGGGTAAACAGAGCTGCGGAGTTATGGGTGTTACACTGCATGTTCACTGGCATAGAAAGTATTAATACTGAGAAAGACAATTTTCAGCAAGTTTTAAAACCAGCTGTAGGCCTACGTTTGTTGTCCAGATGACAAACAGCACACACAGATCACCTGGTGAAGAATCCTGCTCTCTTCCAAAAAATAATCTCTAAAGCAGTTGTCCAGATTTAAACCAGAGCACAGCATGAAATGAAACTTACCTGGCAACTGACAGGCCACCTGTAAACCTGGACATTTTAAACCAGATCCCTGTGGTTAACCTGAAACGTGGGATCTCTTCTTCAGGCATACTCTATCTCCTTCTCTCTTTCTGTCACACACACAGTCTCTCTCTCTCTCTCTCTCTCATGCTGCCCCACCCACTCATTCTCTTCTCCCTACGAAGTAAATGAAGGTACTGTAAGAGGCAGGACACCAAACAGAAGAGAAAATGCCCTCAGCTTTTCAGGGATCACTGGGGGCTCTGGACCACAGACCAGCATGGCCTGGCAGATCCTCTCTGTCTGACCATGATATCCAGACTATTCTGGAGGATTGCAACAAGTGATTAAGGCTTAGATAGTTAACACGGTCACACGATAAAGGAGTATAAGTACCATTCAGGTTAAGGGTTTGTTTGATAGACGCCAGCAGTTGCAGCCTGGGCTGGACTGGCATTAAAAATTGGCCCTGAGGTGGGGGCGTGTCCCCTGATAACTTCTGCCAAATGTTGAATTTCACAGAAAATGTCCAGTATGCCAGATGGCCAGTTCAGCCCTGATCATAAGCAGGGATGATTCAGGTTTATTCCCAGAAGGTATAATTCAGGTTTAAGGCTCATCTGACCATCATCTTCTCTGAGGTGAGTCTCTGCTGCTTCCCCATGGTGTATAATCCAGAGAAACGCAGTGCTGGGTGCTGGGCAGATGACTTACTGTCAGCCAGTTGGAACAGGTGAGTTTCCAGGTGAGCTGGAAGGAGCAGGTGCTTCTTAAAGGGATGAAACATGACGTGGTTTTTGGGCCGGACTCCTCTGGATGGCTGACCTTCAGAGCCACGTTGCTAATCTCACATTTAGAAGGTGAACCCTGGGAATGGAGGTGAGAATGAGGAGCGGATGATTTAGCACGACCAGCTGAGACTGCAGAAATGTAACATCATTCCATGAAAGCAGGGTAATGACCACCCATCTTAAATACACAAAATACCACAAAGGTTTGGGGGGAAATAAAACAGACAAACAGAAAGAATGAGAGAGAGAGTGAGAGAAAGAAAGAGAGAGAGAGAGAGAGAGAGAGAGAGAGAGAGAGAGAGAGAGAGACAAACACAGACATGCAGACACATACAGACAGAAAGGATGACAGACAGGATTATAAGAGAGACAGACACAGACAGACAGACAGACAGACAGAGATATAAGGAGAGAAACAGACAAGCAGATAGACAGACAGCCAGACACAGACAGACAGACATGCAGACAGACATGCAGACAGACACAGACAGACAGACATGCAGACAGACACAGACAGACAGACATGCAGACAGACAGACAGCCACAGTGTTTAAAATAATGTTACAACATGGCTGGACATGCTGAAGCAGTGTGCTTCAGTGCCATACAGCCTGCCCTTTGGAGAGGACACTGTGATCTCCATGGCAACTGGCACCCAGTGGGTGTTTGTCAGGTGTCATTTTAAGATAAGTGTAAGACTCTGGGTGAGCCTGTGGCAGCTCATAATCTCAATATTCATTTGCGGGCAGAGAGATGAGGAAAAGCCTTTTCAGGAAGATTAGGGGGAGAGGGATTGGAAAGTTATTAAAGCGGTGGACACGTCAAGCAGGGTGATAGAGGGACACTGGGAGTCAGCTAGTGCCCCAAGAGGAAGGCGTCGGAACTGCGGGCAAGAGACCAACTGGAAGGAAGCGTCATATACTGCTACCTGCTGGACGTTATTATTGTTGTTGTTGTTTATTTCAAACGTACATGCCCCTTTGTGTCCTGTGTTAGTTCTGTGTAGTCTCCATGATCCTTTAATTAGGAAGGAAAGTCTTACGGCAGAGTAGACCATAGAGAGCGTTTAAATGTCATGTATTCTTAAAGTATTGTCTTCCATATATATTTAAACGCATGGAGACAAACGGAAGTCGGTCATTCGTGGGTGTCCGGGCGGGTGTCCCTCTCGGAACTGCCGGTATAGGTGGGATGTTTGATAGTGCACCGTAGAGATGGCGATTTCGAATCATTCGAAACAAACAATGTTTCGAAACATTTCGTAAACTCCGTATCGAGACCAGAATTAAGTTTCGGACGTCTTCGGAAAGGATCGATCCTGGGTGCCGAAATTTCCATCTCTATAGTGCACTGTATATATTATTGTTCTGAATATCCTATTATTTGAAAGGCCTATTTATTGTTATTTATCGTTATATATTGTTTAAGTCTGCAAGGAAATACGCAAGCAAGTATTTCTTTGTAAATAAAGATATATAGTTACGATATCGGATATAGAGTTCTGAGCTTACAGAATTGCAAAAATTTAAATGGCGGTCCTAATGGCAATTTACATGTTTCCATAAAGTCAGTATACAGTCATTTATTGGACTGGACTACGTTCCGATCATGCAGGTCCTAGTTCAAATTGCGCAAACGTTTATGAAACTTTTCTTTGGGAGCGACCGCACGCAGGACGCTCCGCCCCGCTGGACCCACGGCGGCCCCGGACTTTAGCTTCATGCTCCCTGCTTTCAGAGACGACACGCAGGGTGCACCGTAGATGCCACCGGCCGAACATGTCCACGCAGCCCTGGGACGTGGTGATCGTGGGCGCCGGGCTGTCAGGGCTGAGCGCCGCCCGGTACCTGCGGGAGAGAGACGCGCGTCTCCGGGTCCTGCTGCTTGAAGGGAAAGGTGACCGTACAGATAGCGCCCAGTTTCCTCCGCAGTTACAGCTCCACCATTGCTGGATCTCCACCAGCTTCCAACCATACTGCGCTTATCTGCTTGCTTATCTGTTGCGATCACCGTGTTATTTTTTCATTGCGAGGTACTAATCCTTAATGCGCGCTTATATGCAGGCCTACTTAAACTAACCAGAACACTAATGTAACAAAATGGGCTGCTCAAACCGTAATAACATTAATACTCATTATAGCATTAAAACACACACGTTTTGTCATCCTCTGTAAACATAATTATGCTCGTAAACTATCATTTTAACTTTTAACCGGAATCGTGCCCTGCTTTTTCCCGTTTTACAATCTTGCTTAAAGCTGGAAGCACCCTGTAGACTTACTGTAGACAACATGGTGTTTATTACATATCTTGCATTTATTCCTCTCTGTTGTGTCTTGTATTTATTCTGTCTCTGTAATTGTTAGGTGTCTGTTGTCATGGTGTTTCCAGCAGTGGCAGGCTGTGCCAACACAAATATCCACCAGCCTGACTCTTGTGGCAATAAAGACTGATTCTGACAACCCGTCCTCTTGCAGATAGGGTGGGGGGGCGAACAGTGACTTTGCAGATACCAGCTGCCCACGGCGATGACTCCTGGGATTTTGGAGGACAGTGGGTGTCCAGGTAAGCCAGACCAGAGAAGCTCAGGAGAACCCTGCTCATGGTGCAGTGCGGTGCCCTGGCTTGTGGTGTGGTGTCCTCGCTCATGGTGCAGTGCGGTGCCCTGGCTTGTGGTGCGGTGTCCTCGCTCATGGTGCAGTGCGGTGCCCTGGCTTGTGGTGTGGTGTCTTCGCTCATGGTGCAGTGCGGTGCCCTGGCTTGTGGTGCGGTGTNGGTGTCCTCGCTCATGGTGCAGTGCGGTGCCCTGGCTTGTGGTGTGGTGTCTTCGCTCATGGTGCAGTGCGGTGCCCTGGCTTGTGGTGCGGTGTCCTCGCTCATGGTGCAGTGCGGTGCCCTGGCTTGTGGTGTGGTGTCTTCCCTCATGGTGCAGTGCGGTGCCCTGGCTTGTGGTGCGGTGTCCTCGCTCATGGTGCAGTGCGGTGACCTGGCTTGTGGTGCGGTGTCCTCGCTCATGGTGCAGTGCGGTGACCTGGCTTGTGGTACGGTGTCCTGGCTCATGGTGTGGTGCCCAGGCTTGTTGTGCAGTGCGGTGCCCTGGCTGGTGTTTCGGTGCCCTGGCTCGTGGTGCAGTGCAGTGTCCTGGGTCGTGGTGCAGTACCCTGGCTGGTGGTGCAGTGTCCTGGCTGGTCGGATCCCTTCCCTGCCAAGGATGCCAATTTTCCCTGCCAGAGCTGCTAATGAATCTACCTCCCCGATGTAGTACTGAGTGCGGATCGTTTCCGTGGTGTTTCCCAACGCCCACGTTCCCCGTCTGCCTCAGAGGTCTGAATTGCTGCTGAAAACCATGTAAATCAATGTAAAAACAGGATTTACCATGGTAATTATTAAATTTAAATGCAGAGTTAATGCATAACGAACTAAAGGTCTTACTTTCTAATATCATTAGTATCTCAAGTCCATGTATCTAGACATACTGGGTCAGGGCTTTTTGTTCCCACTGAATGTTTAATTAATTACCGTTTATTAGCTGAGTACTGACGGAGTGAGCGCAGCTTAAATGAGATCCAGCAGGATCCTTCTGTGGAATTTCTGTTACTTGAGCTACACACATGTCCCATCTTGCCTCCCTTGCTGATTATATTTTTGGAGAAATCTTTAACATTAATGCCATCCCAGGCCCCTGCGATCCTAACCAGGATAAGTCAGAACTATAAACGAATCAAGAGATGTATCTGATGTATATGATCTGATCCCAATACACAAACCAGTCGGTATCTGAGCCATAATGTAGTTTAGGATCCACAATTCAGAGTTTATCACTTGCATGTGTGAATTCATACTGTCTGCTGCCAGCTCACAGACCTCCGTCATGGAGCTGATACAGGAGCTGGGGCTGGAGGTTTACCCACAATCCACCACAGGGAAGAAGGTGTACCACATGGGAGGCTCGCGTGCACCAGTCCGCACCTACACCAGCAGCATCCCCTCGCTGCCTCCTCTGGCCCTGCTGGACCTCACTCAGGTCATGTGGAAGGTAGGCTTAGGTGGTTAGTGGGATGGGGCTGTTCCCTTAGTTGATTGACGGGGCATCTTTGAGGTTGATTGGCTTGTTTGGCTCTTTAGATTGACAGACTCTTGCAGACAGTTTGCGTGGAGGACCCAGTCTCTGCTCCCAGAGCCCTGGAGTATGACAGCATGACTCTGCACTCCTTCATTGAAAGAAATGTCTGGACCCAGAGTAAGGAGGCCTTCCATCCTGGCCCTGTGGTCAGCATTCACAGGACAAAGTGTTTCCGTATTTACTTTGGTGAAAATGATGCTTTTAGCATGTGACATATTTGTAAACTGTATTCATCTAATTGATACCAGTGAGAGAAGATTTAGCAGGGGTGGTGATAGTCATAGCATAGCATCTGGAGCACTAGCTATTGTAGTAGCAGCTATGCTAGGAGCATCAGTGGTAAAGGCAAAATGTAGTAATATTAGCAATAGCATTAGCATAAGCAGCTGTATTAGTAGTAGCAGTAAAGGCAGTATGTACATTAGCATGAGCAGCTGTGTCAGTAGCAGTAACATTAGCATGGGCAGCTGTGTTAGTAGCAGTAACATTAGCATGAGCAGCTGTGTTAGTAGCAGTAACATTAGCATGAGCAGCTGTGTTAGTAGCAGTAACATTAGCATGAGCAGCTGTGTTAGTAGCAGTACAGGCAGTATGTACATTAGCATGAGCAGCTATGTTAGCAGTGTTAGCAGCAGTAACCCCCTAACTGGCAGGCCTCTTGGCAGTGGTGAAGGAGGCGCTGGAGCTCAGTACCCGCTCTGTGTTCGGGATGGAGCCGGCACAGATGTCCTTTCTGTACTTCCTCATGTACTGTGCTGCGGCAGGGGGGGCCCTGCGCTTGCTGGAGGCCACACCTGGCTCTGCCCAGGAGTTTCGCGTTAAAGTGAGTTTTCTCACAGCCCCCCAATATACTACTACTCCTTAGTAGTTAACTACTTCTAAGAACTAACCTTAATATTAAGACTATCCATGATGCACAGAAATGGATCCTTACTTTGCTATTGCCAGACTAGTCATCATATGCTTGGCTAAAAATAATCCTAACACCTACTGACCTGCCCATTTTACTGTTTAACAAACAAACCATTACCGTTTACTTACAAATCCCCCCCACTGTCTTCAGTGGATTAGTACCACTGATAGACTTACTGTGCCGCACTGCTCCTTTACTGCCACAGGGGGGCACTCAACAGCTGTGTGTGAGGCTGGCAGAGCTCATTGGATGGGAGAATGTGCGACTGAGCTGCGCTGTCAAGGCGATACGGCAGGTAGGCATGTGGACCCAATAAACCACGAAACAAGAGTCAGGAAAAGTAATGGAAATTATATTTTAATTATATTTTAAATAAATATTATACATTGGAAACTGCAGGAGCATGAACAGCATGTGTGTTTTTGTCTGTATTTGTGTGTGTGTTTGTATGTCTGAATTGCATGATTAGAAGTCATGTTATTGGGTTCGTTGGGGCTGTATGACCTCTGACCCTTCCACGCTGACACCCTCCTGGCCTCCGCGCACCACACCTCATGTGCCTCAGGCGAACATGCCGCCTGGTGAATGTATATGTGTTTGCATGTGAGTTTAAACCTGTGTCCCCCCCCAGTACCCTGACGGTATCCAGGTCCACACCAGCTCGGACTCCTTTGACTGCAAAGCCGTCATCGTGACCTGTCCCCCTCACCTGGCCGGTCAGTTTATCTCTATGGCGTCGGGAGGGTGGGAGACCTTCTGCTCTTCGGGCCATTTCTGAGCTGGGGGGGGCAGCAGTGGAAGGGTGAGTGGTGCTGCTGCTGGTGCCGCGCTCGTTGACCCGAATGCGTCACATGGGTCGGCTGCAGACCCTGGGAACCACACTTACAGAGCCCCCTACCTGTGCACACAGAGATCCCCTTGCCTGTGCACACAGAGATCCCCTTGCCTGTGCTCACAGAGATCCCCTTGCCTGTGCTCACAGAGATCCCCTTGCCTGTGCTCACAGAGAGCCCCTTGCCTGCGCTCACACAGGGGCCCCCTTGCCTGTGCACAGAGAGATCCCCTTGCCTGTGCACAGAGAGATCCCCTTGCCTGTGCACACAGAGAGCCCACTGCCTGTGCTCACAGAGATCCCCTGACTTCACGCATAAACATGCAGCCGCTTTTCCACTTAAGCACACAGCGACGCCGGTCTTTTTCAGATTTCCTCATTTTGCAGGTTTATCGTTTCTCCCCTGGATGTAAATCGATTTATCATCTGCTATGTTATGTTGATTGTCCTGCTGCAGAACAGCACGCCACCACAGGACAGACTGGGAGCATATCGATGTATGTTAGCATGCCCGTGTATGTTAGCATGCCCGTGTATGTTAGCATGCCCGTGTATGTTAGCATGCCCTTCTATCCAAATCATGTTTATGCTGTTTCCATCCACTGTGATTTTCTCACTATTTTTCCAAANTTATGCTGTTTCCATCCACTGTGATTTTCTCACTATTTTTCCAAATGCTTTATGAATGATTTTAAATGTGTGCAGACCCTTATCCCCCCCCCCCCCCCCATCCTGGGACAGCTCAACGTTAACGTCAGTCTTGACTGGTCCCAGCAGGGGCAGCAGGGGAGCTAGTTAAAAAAACCCCCTCTGTGATTACAGCCCTGCTGGCTGGGATCCCAGCGGCTCTTTCAGCTCGGAGAGCTGTGCTTGACCTGAGATCCATCAGTGAAATTGTACTGCTTGTTCTGAAGCCTGAGGTTGCTTCTGCAGAGCAGTAGGGCTGCGGATAGAAACACATTTATCTCAACCAGTGTTTCCCAATCCGGTCCTCAGGGACCCGTAGATGGTCCACGTTTTTGCTCCCTCCCAACCTGGGAAGGAGCAAAAATGTGGACAGTCTGGGAGGGAACAAAAATGTGGACCGTCTGTGGCACCGGGTTGGGAAAACCTGATCTAGCCAAAGTGTGTCGCCTTTTCCTTGGAGGGAAGTGGTTCATTCCTGCTGTCTTTGTCACTCCATGTACCAACAAGTCATGTGGCCCGTCTTCTCTCATTTAATAAGCATGCTAATGCATGTTATTTGTGTAGCGCTTTTCAAGGACCCTAAGATGCCTACATTACAGTACTCTGCAATACTGTGCTCTGTGGTCTCCCTGGAGACGCTGAGGGACAACCCCCCCAGCATAGCTCTCTGGGGTCTTACGGCAGGGACGGTCACCGCCCCCCCCAGCATAGCTCTCTGGGGTCTTACGGCAGGGACGGTCACCGCCCCCCCCAG